GGTGGGCTCTGGGGCTGGGGATGTGATGGCCCCCAGTTCACACCTGGGGTGGGGGGGTTGACTATAAACTTTGCACGGTTAACCTTGGTGATGGCCACCTCGAGGGGCTGGCTCGGAGGCCCTGCAGAGAACGCAGGAAAGATGTGTGGAGGTGGGCAGGCTGGGGCCGGGCAGGGCCTGGTGAGGTTTGGAGGGTGGGGTGCAGGCCAGTGGGTCATCCTGGCCCCTAATGAGGAGTCGGCTCAGGAGCTCTGGCCCCCAAAGATGCAGACACTTGGGCGCTGGAGCCCTAGGGACCCCAAAGGACAGTTGAGCTGAGTGGGGTCTCTGAGGGTGAGCCAGATGCAGCCTGGGGACCCTCCCCCTGGAGTCTGAGCCCCTCCCTGACATTGGTTGGGGAATGCGTGTGTGCGTTTTCATAGGGACTTACGACCCAAACAAGGTTGAGAGGCACATCCTAGTCCATCGTCGCCCCATGTCCCCTGGCGAGGCGTCTGTGGGCTCAGCACCACGGCGGCCTTCCCCAAATGGAAGGGAGAAGCTGCCCCCTTGGCCATCATGGGCCGTCCAGGCTGGGTTCTGCCCCAGTCGTCCCTGCAGGCCGGAGTGGGGACTTGTAGGAACAATGGCTTTGGTCTTAAGCCCGGGGAGCCTGTCGCTTTGAGTGCAGTGGGTACTGAGCCCTACTGTGTGCCATTCCCAGAGACACACAAGCCGTTGTTCTGCTTCTGATGAGCCTGCAGGGGTAGCAGGGTCAGAGAAGATGCCAGCTGTGGGGAGGGGCCACCCAGGGGCAGAAGAGGGAGGGATGCTCCAGCCAGGGCCCTGGGGCAGGCTTCCCGCAGGAGCTGATCTCTGAGCACAGGGCTTTGGCCAGTGCAGGTGGGGGAGCAGGCTCGGGCCATGATGTGGGGTGTGCAGGGGGCCGAACCAGGGCTGGTGGGGAACTCCCGTCCCTGAGCAGCCCCTGCCTCTTCCATAGTCCCGCCCACCATCGAGGGCGCCGGCCAAGGGCCGCACTTGGTGAAGACGGTGGCTGGGAGGCCCTTGGGCCTGGAGTGCGTGGCCAGAGGCTACCCACCCCCCACCCTGTCCTGGTACCACGAGGGGCTGCCCCTGGCGGAGAGCAACGGAACGGGGACGTGGCTGGAGGCGGGCGGCGGCCTTCGCCGGCCGTGGACGTGCAGGGTGAGCCGGACCTGTCCCGCCCGAGCCACCGGGCTGCGGGCCCCTCCTCCCACACCTACCACCTGCCAGTGCCCGCAGCCCCTCTGGGAGCTGCCTCTAGTCAATGGGCGTTTACCTAGAAGTCCCTGAGGCCCAAAGCGGGGTTGTGGGCAGTGGTCCTGGGGACAGGCGGGGAGGGGCCTTCGCCGTGGACGTGCAGGGTGAGCCGGACCTGTCCCGCCCGAGCCACCGGGCTGCGGGCCCCTCCTCCCACACCTACCACCTGCCAGTGCCCGCAGCCCCTCTGGGAGCTGCCTCTAGTCAATGGGCGTTTACCTAGAAGTCCCTGAGGCCCAAAGCGGGGTTGTGGGCAGTGGTCCTGGGGACAGGCGGGGAGGGGCCTTCCCCTGGACAGACATCTCTCGGGCTGATTCGGGGTTGGCCCTTGAGGCTGGAGATGAGGCAGGGAGCAAGGCAGGCGGGACTCCTGAGCCCTGGGTCTGGTGGTGAGACAGACGAATAAACAGGGCAAGCCTCAGGGGTGGTCCTGGAAGGCCCCCTGTAGGAGGGGTCCTTTATGGGGGAACGTGAATGGCGGGGTGTGGCTTGGGCCTTGTTCTGGGGGCACAGGGGACTTAGGAGGGCTTTAGGCAGGGATTTGCTCAGCGCTAACCACCCACTGGGGCGTCTGGCCTGCAGTGCCCCCACAGCTGCTGGTGGCCGAAGGCTTGGGCCAGGTGACCACCCTCGTGGGACAGCCCCTGGAGATTCCCTGCCAGGCCTCAGGCTCCCCGGTGCCCACTATCCAGTGCGTATGTGGGGGGCGGGAGGGTGAAGGCCAGGGCTGCGGCTGGGGTGTGGGCAGAGAGCGCATGCTTTGGAGGTGGGTGGGGTCAAGAGGCACCCCCTTCCCAGAGGCAAGAAAAAGGCCAAAGACGTGCGAGCAGGCGGAGATGCTGCCGGCCTTCTGCGTGTCCTGCTGGCCCTGCCTCCCCTGGCCTCAGGCTGACCGCCCCCCTTCCCACCCACCTTAGATGGCTGCAGAACGGCCGCCCAGCCGAGGAGCTTGTGGGGGTGCAGGTGGCCACCCAGGGGACCACCCTGCACATCGACCACGTGGAGCCGGGCCACGCGGGCCTCTTCTCCTGCCAGGCCACCAACGAGGCAGGCACCGCAGGGGCCGAGGTGGAGCTGTTTGTGCACGGTGAGTGGCCATGGGCAGCCCAAGGCTGGGGGAGGGGAGCCTGGACCGAGGCCATCTGTGCCTCTGGCCGGTCCGGGAGCCTGGGGGGGACAGGGGGCTGGTCTTCTGTAGATAGTCCAGCTGGGCTGTGCTTCCCAGCTCCCCAAAGAGAAGAGGCGTGAGAGGCTGGTCTGAGCTGTCCACCCCACTTGTCATCTGTCCAGTCCTCAGGCCCCCACTTTTCTCCCCAGTCTTCCCTCTCTGTCCACTGACCACCACGAGCTTCATTCAACTCTTTAAATACATCAGCTCTCTCACCTCCGTGCCTGCAAATGCTGTTTCTGTTCCTGGAACATTCTCCTTCTTTGCCTCCTAGCACCTCTTTATCTTTCAGGTCTGTCCTAAAACACCCCTTCCTCCCAGAAGCCCTCCTTGATGTCACTGTGGTGCTAATCCACACTGCCCGCCCTTTCTTGGCTATCGCTCGCCACCCACTGTATTGGGAGTGCTTGTTTGGTTGTCCACCTCTCAGCCCAGCTCAGGGAGCTCTGAGAGGACAACACAGTGGCCACCATTCCTTGCTGTGTCCCAGTGCCTAGTTCACTTCGGGGCTCAGAGTAGATGCTCAATGATGGATGGGTGGATGGATGGATGGGTAGATGGATGGGTGGTTGGATAGGTGGGTGTGGATGGGTG